CCATCTAAGCAAGCTATCAACTAAGACCACATCAAAGAAACACACCAGCCTGTGTGATCCAAAGATGACAATAACAAAATCCAAAAATCCAAATATGATGAAGGGAAAAGTATCAGAGTTTAAATCGTGAACACTCGATTTGTGGAAATGAAGAATAGTAAGAACCCAAAATCCATCTGCAGAGTATCTGGCCAGATTAAGCCTCTGGCAGATCCACTCTAGCCACGGTGAGGGATTATTGTAAACTTGGATTATGGTGGATAGAACCATAGTATAATATGATACTTGGTCAGCAGACCTTCCCACTTGACCCAATCTGAATTTGCTTTAGGCTCAAATATTTCTCTTGTTTCGTAACAGAAATTTCTTCTCTAGCTTTTTAAATATTGTTGGAAGCCTTTTCTTTCCTACTCTATTGTTATTACTATTATTTTCTTCCTTATGTTTTGTTTTTATTTCGTATTGTTTCTGTTAGGTTTCTCAGTTAATGAAGTATAGAAGGAACAGATGCAGAGAGACAATAACTGATGGAATGGTTTATCTGGAATGGGGGGCGGACTGAGGGGTATTGAGCAGCTAACAATGAATGCGGAGGGGGGAGGGAGCATTAGAACTGATGATGATGTATATACAACTCTTTTTAGAAGCGATTTAACTATGGAAGTGTATGATATGTGAATATTATATCAAGAAAACCACTTAAAAAAAACACACACCAAATGACCTATGTGATTACCATGGGTAATCAAGGTAGAAGAGTTTTGCTTAGGGTTTATATTGATGAGTTTATATTAATGGTGGTAGAATAATTTGGAAAAGGATACCAATAATGGTTGTACAACATGAATATAATAAATGGCATGGAATTATACACGTAGAAGTTGTTGAAGTGGATGTCTTATTATGTGTATCTTTGCCACGATTAAAAAAAAAGAATTACTGAATCACAATGAGTACAAGAAGAAATTTTCTAAAATTGATTGTGACAATGATTGTACAACTCTTCTTAATATGACTGAACTATTGAATTGTATGTGTGGGTGCAATGCAATAAAACTTAAAAAAAAAAACAATAGTATAACAGAAAAACTAGGCATATCAAGTAGTGTGGGACAATGTTAATAGGACATTGATATAGAAACCTGTATCAATTGATGGCAAATCATTAAACAGTAAAATATAGTCAAAAAAGCTTTGGTTAGGAGACTGGGTTTGAATTCCAACTCTGCCACTTCTAAGCCAAGTCATCACGGGCAAGTCTCAACTCACTGCTTTCAAACTGAGTTTGACTCATGACAATCTTCCAGGACAGAGAAGATCTGCCCCTGTGGGTTTCTAAGACTACATTTTTATGTGATAGAGAGCTTCATCTTCTTCCTTTGGAAAGGCTGGTGGTTTCAAACTGCTAACCTTGTGAGTAAGCAGCCCATCTTGTAACGCACTATGCCATCAGGGCTCCTATGAACAAGTTACTTGTCTCAGGGTCCTCACCCAGCATGAGTCTGATTACACTGTTGATTACATCAAATCAGACCATGCTGTCAATGCCTGACATAAAGCAAGCTTCTAAGGCTGTTGATGGGTGCCCCTTTAGTGTGGTGGGCTCTGTAAGGGATGTTCAGTTCAGGCCAGTGGTTCGCACCCACCATTCCCACCTACCAAACCAACGATGAGGCTGTTTCCTCCCATAAAGATGGACAATCTGTGAGGAGCACTAGAACTGACTGACAGCACAACTCATTTTAAAGGCAACTGAACCTTGGGCAGAGTGAGGTGGGGTGGTTTCTAAAATTGATATGGTAATGCCTGTACAATTCTCATTGATATAATTGAATGATCGAACTATTGAATTGTATGATATGTAAATCATGTGCCAATGAAACTGTTAAAATTTTAGGTAGCAGTGATACTCTTTCTTATAGGGTCACTCACTATATGTCAGAACTGGCTCAATGAAAATTGATTTGGGTTTGCATGAGGCTGTTGAAAAATCTTAGTTTCTTTCCACTTACAGAACACTGTTAAAAAGTCGAGGGTCACAGGTTAACTCCCCAGAATTTAAATGGGGGATAGCAATGGAACACCTAACACTCTTCTTTTTTTTAATCGTTTTATCGGGGACTCTTACAACTCTTGTTACAAACCAAACATCAATTGTATCCGACATTCGTACATAGATTCCACCGTTCATTTCTACACATTTATTTCCATGACCACATCCTGAACCCCACGCAGCTGACACTTTAAAACCAGGCCACACCTTAAATCCCACCCAGCTAATACTCTCCTAAAACCATGACCACCGCTGATCCTCACACCTAGCCATCTTGCAGATGAACTGGGTCATAATCGAGATTTAGCCACACACACACACAAAAAAAAATTTAAATCATTTCAATGCAATTTCATCACCTCTGCTAAAAACAGTTTAAAACACCTGCCTTATTCAACATCATCTTGGTCTCTGAAAGAGCCCACAAGTAAGCTATTCTATGAATGCAATTAAATGATGAGACCTCGGAAGGTAGATGCCCTCAGAGGATGAACTTAGTCACCTCATGGCTCTCCTCTATAGAGCAATGGATTCACACTAGTGCACTACAGAAACAATAAACAGCAGTCAGGTGAAGCAAGTCCTCCACCTGACTGTGCAAGGATGTAAGGAGATCCATGAGGTCCCAAAAAGTGTCCCATAATGTCCCTAAAGCTTCTACTCCGGTTAGATCACCCTTTGCTTTTTCAGGGACTGAAGTCTCAAACATTCTCTTTTTGTTACAATGTGACATTTTGTCTCATCTCACTTCCTAATTTCAACACAAAGATTATGGTCTTGCCTGTTTCAACCCTAAATGTTATGTTTGAATTCAATAATAGAAAACGCATCATTTTCTAATCGAGTCCATGTCACTTGAACTATGTGTGTCAAGTTTCCACCGACTGACAACACCACAAAGACAGAAAAGCTTTGAAATGTCTCTGTTGATAACTGCTCACTTAATTCCACAATTAAAGAAAATGGACCAAAAGGAAAACAAAACTTTTAAAAAGATGATTTTGGAAAAAATAAAAACTATTTGTTCTCAATCTTAAAATTTACTTTTTTCTGAACTGACACATTGGGTTCAGACAAGTTTAGGGGAGAAAAATTTCGTACTGATTTCATACTAGTGAATTTATTTTTTCACATTTATTTTCATATTCTGTTGACCTTGAGAAATATGTTTCGTGTATCTCCTCTATAAGAGATTACCGTTGTTCCTCATAAGGTAACAAAAAAGTTACACCTTCCTCAGGGCCTGGATAAAGTGAAGAAACACATTTCAAATCATACAGTCAAACCGATCTGTCTTTGGCTTAAAAGGAATTTCTTGGTGAAAATTCATCTAAACACCTCTACATCAGGAACAAATGAGAGATCAAGAAAAAAGAGTTTCTGGGAGAAGAGGCCTACTAAGAAACAGAATACACTCTTTGCCTTGAAAGAAATGACCTATTAAGATAAGTATTAAAGGAATAAAGGGGGTTGGGCGCATTTTTGTAAACCATATACAACAAAGTGCCCTCTAAGGGAATCTCTTAATAGCTTCTGCCTGACGGGAAGAAGCTGTTCTGTATTCTCATGTAAGCCTACATTCGGGATATATTTGAAAAAGGAAAAACCAGCAGCACTGAAAGGGCAACCCTGACTTTCCAAACAGTCAAGCATCAGCCAACAAAATCATCTACTTTCCCACCTGATGCCACCTGCCCACCTGTCCGCCCTAGGAGCTCTTGGGGTGCAGGGGTTCAAGTGCTCGGTCGCAAACTGGAAGTCAGCAGTTCCAACCTGTCACTATGTGGGAGGCCACTATGTGGGAGAAAGACAGGGCACTCTGCTTCAGTAAGGATTTACCATCTTGGAAACCCCACGGGGGCCGTTCTACTCTGTCCTGTAGGGTCATCCTGAGTCGGCCACAGTGGGTTTGATTTGGGCCTTTGAAAACCCTCTCCCTGGAGAATTTGAGTCCCAAGGAGACACACTGACAACGACTCTGGAGCTAAAACTAGAGCCCGGACATCTTGCAGTACAATCAACCTGAAGGAATGACTGCTTTGATAATACTTTAGAGATGTTTTATAGGGCCAGTGGAAGAAGTGAGGAGGTCAGTTGAAGAGGTTGAGACCAGCAGGGGTTCTGAAAGGGAAGGAAGCTCAATTTGTAAAAAGGAAGGGAAAAGGCAGGATAATCACAGGAAATTCTTTGAACCTCATTGCCTCAGTTATAATGGCAATTTTATTAAAGAATCGTTAAAACATCAAGAAAGAGATTTGTATAATTCCTTTCAAAAATGCAAGAAAGGGGGAAGGGGAGGGACTTATACAGTCATTTGCTTCTATTTGTTTCCTGTGTAGTCTCTGCTCCAGTAAAGCACAAGTTTGAAAGCGATAAGAACTAGGGAAACGTAGAATGAAAGGGAAGTATGCCAGAAATCAGTTGTAGTCTCTTAAATTACTAGCACCTAACTAGAATTGTTCTAAACTGCTGAGAAGACGCGTATTTGGTTAAATATCAAGGAGTCTGTCTTTAGGCCACCCTTAAACACAAAGGTATGGTTAATCAACTTACACAATCTATGGCCCATACTTGGGGTTTCAAATACTCGTACTTCTTTTTTTAAAACATAGGTCCACCACCCATTCTGATGCCATCCAAATTTATTCTTTAAATCCCTGCAGAATTGTTCTTTAAACTTGATTTAAATCCAGCCCTTCTGGCTTGAATATTGGAAAGGGGGGGGTGAACACCTCTCCTAAGAGATTCGAAAAGAAGCAAATACAGTTCAGAATAGAGGGGGTAAAAGCAAAGGAGAATCTCTTAGGAGTCATTTCATTCTTTTAAAATGTCATCTGCATTTCTTCACCAAGCCCAAAGGCCAGGCTCCACTCACTGGCGCAATATCATCTTTGTCAAAAGCGCTAAGAGTTGCCAACCAGCCCCCCAAGGTGTCCCCCAATCTCACCTCATCGGCGCTCAGCTCCTCCATCGCTTTCCTCTTAATGATGAAAGACGTTAGGGAAAGATCCTTCTATTCTCGAGAGCAGGGCGGGAGGAAAGGAGAGTGGAAGGTGTCTATCGGGCTGTCTGGTCCCCCGAGTGGGGGAGGTTTCAGAATTGCATAGTCAGAGGTTAAAAAATGAGAACACGAGAGGCACTGAACTGCCCAGGCTTCAGTCGCTCCAATCGCCCCAAAGCCTCGCACAGCTGCGTCTGCCCTGAGCAGCCTCCTTGGGCCGCCACTGCTGCTGCGACAGGACCCTCTGCTTCCTAGCTTGTCCAGACCAGGGAGCTCGGTCTCCAGCTCGTCGCGTGCTCCGAGCTCGCTCGATCTTCGCGGTGGTGGCGCGGCAGCTGCGCTTCCTCCAGCAGCTCCTGCTCTCCTCCCTACCTTTCACCCCCGGCGGGAACAGCTCGGCTGCAAAGTCGATGCCCCGAGGACCAGCGACCCCCGAGCCGCCCAGACAGAGCCCAGCCCTGGAGAGGGAAGCCCCTCCCCTCCCGGAGCAGGCCGGCCACGCCCCGCCTCCGCGCCGGAGCCCAGGCAGGGGGAGGGGGAGGACAGAACTCACGAGGCCTCTCGCTGGAAGAGTAAATCCTCCTACCCCTCCACCCCGACTCTTACCCCCTCGCCCCACCAAGTATTATTCATCAAAACAACAGGGCGGCCATCTTTGAAAGGGATCACGTGACCCCGGCCAGGGAGGCGGGGCTTGTGGCTCCAGGACGAGGCAGCCAATAGGCCGCGGGCGTCGCACACCCGATTTCCTCTCTTCGGCGCCCCCTCCCCGCCCCCACCCCCACCCCTGCCCCGCGCACCCGCGCTGGGCCGGGGGGGAGGGGCGCGAGGCACTGCGGGCGGTGGGCGTGGCCACGGGCGGGGCGGGGCTACCCGCGAGGGGGTGGCGACTTGGTGCCATGGTAACGGCGCGGGCGCCGGGGCGCCGCCGCCCGGCCCAGGTAGGCGAGGGCGCGCAGGGTCCGGTGGGCGCTCCGGGAAGGAGGCCGCAGGCCCAGGCGGCATGTAGGTAGGTACCGGGAAGACCTGGCTGAGAGGACAGACGGACGCCACCGGGTCTCGCGGCGCCTTCCTTGTTCCCAGTCACTATTGCATTTCAGGGACGAACGCGTCCGCTCTGGGCGCTGCCCCCTAAGCCAAATCAACGAAAACCGGCTCCTTTCTGGGGAGTGTGTGAGCCATTCACCCTTCTCCATCGTCCACCTCTCAAAGAAAACCCATTTAGAAGAAAACTATAACGTATGTAGAGCTTCAATGGATATTATCTTACTTTGGTCTTTGAAAGGGATACAGTTACTGCCTTATACCTCCAAGGGGCCTTTGGGAAGTTCGTCGAAACATGGAATTAAAAGACCATGGAATTTTCCCGTGGATTCTTTCAAGCTCCCTCCTATATTTGTGTGTTGAAAAGTGCAGGTTAAAAAAGAAGTGTATAAATGAGAGACCCTAAATTAATTAAACTTTGAAGTGCACATGCATGTATAGGAAAGATGTTTGGAGTCAAGGGGAAAAGAATTATCTTCAGCCAGCCAAGGATACAAATGTTTTCTAGTATTCAGATCTAAATTGAGCATTCAAAGTAACAAAACCATTAAATTCCCAATTTCTCCACATAGAAAGAATGTCTTACTGAGTCTTAAAGATTGCAATTCAGAATTGAAAGAGCTACAATATCTTTGCTGCACAGGCCAGAGAGGTAGGGAACTTGTGAGTGAAAGGCGACACAGAGGGCATTGAATATTGTCTGCTCTCAAGGAGAGGAAGTCTATAACCACCAGAGTGTGGAGCAGGATGACATTAATGTTAATACATTTCTTCACAACAGTTATGGAGAGTTCAGTCACATACTCTACAATTATTTTAGTATATTCACAGAGTTGTTGAAGCAGCCTCATACTAGATGTGGAATATTTTTGTCACCCCCAAACGGAAACCTTCCATACATACCCAGTAGTAGTCCTTTCCACCCTCTTGCTCATACCAGGCAACCACAAATCTACTTTCTGTATGTATTACACTGGTCTGTTCTGGGCAGTTCATAAAAATGGAAGTAGACAATATGTGGCCTCATACCTAGCACCTTGCACTTAGCAAAACATTTTCAAATTGTATCCATGTTGTCACTTTGTTACTCATTGCCACTGAGTTAATGCCAATGCACAGCCGCCCTGTAGGACAGGGTAGGACTGCTCCTGTGCGCTTCCAAGCCTGTAACTCTTCAGGAGTAGAAAGCCCCATCTCACTCCCTCGGAGGGCCTGATGGTTTCCACTTGCTGACCCTGAACTTAGCAGCCTAGCTCATAACCAACCACCACACCACCAGGGCTAGCATGGACTAATTATTCTTTTTATGGTGGAAAATATTTGCTTCTATGGAGTTATCACACTTCCCCATACACCTGTTGATGGACATTTGGATGGGTTCTACCTATTGGCTAATATGAACACTGCTGCTGCGAATATTTGTATAAACGTTTCATGTGGACATATGGTTAATTTTTTTTCTGAAGAAAGGAAGAGAATGGCTGTACCCTATGGTAACCCAGTGTTTTAACTTTTGGGGAAATCTCAAATTGTTTCTCCAAATGGGCTAGACTATTTTACATTCCCACCAGAAAAGATGGTTCCAATTCCTCCACATTCTTGCCATCTTTTAATGATTGTCGACCCTTTTGATCCCTGCCATCCTAGTGATGAAAGCCTAGTGGTGTTTCACTGTGGCTTTGTTTCACTTCCCTAATGACTGGTGGCAGGAACCCTGGTAGCGGTGGATTAGGGTCGAGCTGCTTACCTCAAGGTGGTACTTCAGATGCACAAGCCGTTCTGGGGGAGAAACATGCGGCTTCCTAGCTCCTGTAGAGACTTACAGCCTCAGAAACACTCTATAGGGACTCTGTGGTTCAGAATAGACTTGATGACAGTGAACGGGTTCTCTCATTCTAAGTGGGCATCTTAATGACAGCCCTTGCAATACAAAAAAGAAAATTAATTTGGTGGATTCTCATCGTTTGTTTTCACTTAGGCATTTGGCATAAGGCATTCACTTTTAAAAGACATTATTAATCCTTGAATATTTAATATGAGAAAGAGTCCCAACCCCCACCGCCATTTAGAGGTTGGGGAAATCATTGAAGTTAAATGACCTTTGGTCTGCAGTGATTAGGAGTTGAGCTGCTACCAGCAAGGTCAGCATCTCAAAACCACCAGCAGATCCGAAGGAGAAAGACCAGGCTTTCTACTTCTCTCAGGAGTTACAGTCTAGGGAGCGGGGAGTGGGAGGGAGGGGGAAAATGAGGAGCTGATGCCAGGGGCTTAAGTGGAGAGCAAATGTTTTGAGAATGATGA